TGGGGTGTTTTAAATCTGTCTTCGGCCAAATTGTTTAATTTGGTTTTATTCTGCTTTTAAATTTTGTATTTATGTGTTTTTATCTTGTGGCTGTTCACCGCCCTGAGTCCTTCGGGAGTAGGGCGGTATATAAATCAAATAAAACCTAAACCTTAATTCAGCCACCTGGTTAAATGTATTCTGAAACCATCTGTATATTTCATATTTTAGAATAAGCAAGGAGACAGTTTTTTCTTTCTTTATTTAAAACATATATGTAACATTTTAGACACAAAATGGCAAAGAATGATTTCTATTTGTTTTGCTTTCTGAAAACATCTTCTAAATATGGTGATTCCCCCACCCCCACCCCCATTTGTTAATGGTAAGCCATCATGTTATCATATACCACGTAATTGAGAAGATAATTTCAAAAGGCAGAAAGGATTACAGTAGTGGGATATTTCAAGTTAACGTAAGGGTTGGAGACATTTATTTAGAAATTAGGGAAAATATATGAATATGAAGCAGATAGATCTGAGGCCTGTTTTTCTTTTTTCTGAAACTGCATTTTATTTACTTACTTACTTTACTAAGTGTTATATGCCATGGCAATCCAGCAGGATCCAAATGGTTTGCCTACTCCTCTTACAATGAAAAAATATTATGAACACAAAGGGTTATGAATTTATACAATTCACTAGCTGGACGCCCGTGCTTCGCTACGAAACTATGTGCTTGGGCTTGATAAATTGACACTTGCAGCCTGAAACTTAATGTAGAATGTGTAACTCAGTAGCATCAGAGTGTGTTAATAAAAGGCAACTGGCAGTTGGAACAGAGGGGGAGGGAGAGTAGAATGTCCCAGCCTGCAGCATCCATCGGTATTCATCTGGTTAGCGTCCTGCCAGTGCATGAGAGAGTTGAGGGTGTTTGGAAACTCAAACAGTATTTGCTGTGTGAGCAAGGAGACAGGAAGGAGGCTGAGCATGGTTTAGCTCAACTGTTCTAGTAAAGCTGCTTGCTGCTGTGAAAGTAAAATTGAAAATGAAACTCCTCTCCTCTGCTTGTGTTCTGCATTTGGAACAGATTTCTTTTGAGGTGGGGAGTACAACTTCTTAGCATCAGAGTGTGTTAATAATAATATAGGAAATACTAATGCTCTGATGGTCGTTTTGAAAAATCCTTTCTTAGTGAGCACCTAGAAGCCAAGAGGAACATACGTGGCAAATTTCAAGTTTGTAGGCTTTACGGTTCTGGAGATTTCGTGATTAATACGTGAGTGGTTTTTGCTTTTATATATATATATAGATAAGCCTACTGTACAAGGAACTATCATCATTCTACACCCAAGTCTCTCTCTCTCTAAAAAAAAAAACATTTTGTGGGGAATTATTTAATTTCAGAGAATATGCTGTTCCTCATGATATCTTTTGATCTTGGGGCTTATACCATAGCAGCATATTCACACCCCATACTTAACCAGGTCAGCTAGGCAACTAGCAACCATACAATATTTAACACAGGCAAGTGTTTTGTTTTGTTTTGTTTAAATATGCAAATCCAGAATATGATTAAATTCACTAGTGTTTCTATGCAGACTCAACTGGCAAAAGGCACTTTCCAATTTGATTCACATTCTGTTCTTCCAGTTTCTGCATGTGGCAAAGATCTTCACCCTGTGATGGGTAATTTCAAAGGTGCAGCACATTCCTGTAAGATCCATTCTTAACATTCAGAATAGCTTTGTATGCAAAGAAAAACGCCAGTCAGTCATCAACACATACATAAAAGCATGTCCTGTGCAAGGGATGAAGCAGATGTAGTAGCATCCTTAAAGAGACAAGCTTGGTGACTCATATGGCATTACTGAAGAATTGGTGGAACTTCCTCCAGATACTTTAGACAAGCCATTGGAAAAGTTCAGGTAGTCCTCGACTTACGACAGTTGAGCCCACAATTTCTGTTGCTAAGTAAGACAGCTAAGTGACTTTTGCCCCATTTTACGACCTTGCTTGACACAGTTAAGTGAATCACTGCAGCTGTTAAGTTAGTAACATGGTTGTTAAATGAATCTGGCTCCCCCATTGACTTTGCTTGTCAGACGGTTGCCAAAGGGGATTACCTGACCCCAGAACACTGCAGCTGTCATAACTATGAGTCAGTTGCCAAGCATCTGAATTTTGATCATGTGACCATGGAGATGATGCAATGTAAGTCTGAAAAACAATCCTAAATCATTTTTTCAGTGTTCCTGTAACTTCACTAAATGAATAGTTGAAAACTACCTCTACAGCAGGGGTGAAATCCAACAGGTTCTGACAGGTTCTGGAGAACCGGAAGCTGAAATTTTGCGCAGTTCAGAGAACCACTTCTGGCTGGCCCCAGAGTGGGGTGGGAATGGAGATTTTGCAGTATCCTTCCCCTGCCACGCCCACCAAGCTACACCATGCCCACCAAGCCACAACCACAGAACTGGTAGTAAAAAAAGTTAGATTTCACCACTGCTCTACAGGTTTTTTTAACCCTGGCCACTTTAAGAGGAATGGACTTCAACTCCCAGAATTCCCCAATCAGCAAAGCTGAGATTGGACGTATTTTTGTAAAAAAGGTTCAAATCATGGCAACTGGACCAAAGTTTGTTAATCTGAGATTTTTCATTACTCATCCAAGTAACTTCATCAGTCAAAATGTAAAAAAATTAGGCAGAGTCAGAGAGTCAATGGAATGTGCCAATTCTTGCCATACCAACTGCATCCAAGTAACTGAATCTCAGTAACTTCAACTGGGAGTTGAAGCCCATCCCTCTTAAAAGAGGCCAAATTTGAAAACCACAGGACACACATAGGCTACATCCAAACCCAGTGGGCATCTTAGCATCTGCAGAGACCCAGCCATTCAAACTTGGCAAACTGCCTAAAGTCTTCAATCAATCAGAATAGAGGTGGAAGGGACCTTGGAGGTCTTCTAGTCCAACCCTCTGCTCAAGCAGGAGACCCTATACCAATCCAGACAACTGGAGCCTCCAATGATGGAGCACCCACAACTTCTGGTAGCAAGCTTTTCCACTGGTTGATTGTTCCGTTAGGAAGTTTTTCCTTAATTTCAGGTTGCTTCTCTCCTTGATTACCGGTAGTTTCCATCATTTCCTGTCCTGCCTTCTGATGCTTTGAAAAATAATTTGACCCTCCTCTTCTTTGTGGCAGCCCCTCAAATACTGGAATACTGCTATCGTGTCACCCCCTAAATCTTCTTTTCTTTAGACCAGCCACACCCAAATCTTGCAACCGTTCTTCGTATGTTTTAGCCTCCAGGCTTTTAATCATCCTAGTTGCTCTTCTTTGCACTTTTTCCTAAATTAGTAATAATAATAACAGTAACCAGAGTTGGAAGGGACCTTGGAGGTCATCTAGTCCAGCTCCCTGCTCACGCAGGAGACCAATACTAGGGATTTGAACCGTCGAACTGCCAACCTTTCTGACTGAGCTCAGCGTCTTAGCCACTGAGCCACCTAGGCAGTCTCAGCCTCGTTTTTGTTAACATGGTGATCAAAGCTGGATGCAGTATTCCATGTGTAGCCTTACTAAGGCTTTTATAAAAGCCGTACTAATACTTCGCCTGATTTTGATTCTATGCCCTCTTTGGTTTATACAACCCAGGATTGTGTGAGATTTTTGGGGGCTACTGCCGCACACGGCTGGCTCATAATAACAGTAAGAGTTGGAAGGGACCTTGGAGGTCATCTAGTCCAACCCCCTGCTCACGCAGGAGACCAATACTAGGGATTCGAACCGTCGAACTGCCAACCTTTCTGATTGACAAGCTCAGCGTCTTAGCCACTGAGCCACCTAGCCAGTCTCAACCTCATTTTTAATGTGGTGATCAAAGCTGGATGCAGTATTCCATGTGTAGCCTTACTAAGGCTTTTATAAAAGCCGTACTAATACTTCGCCTGATTTTGATTCTACGACCTCTTGTTTATACAACCTAGGATTGTATAATATTTTTTTTTTTTGGCTACTGCCGCACACGGCTGGCTCATAATTCAATGATGGTCTACTAAGACTCCAAGATCCCTGTCACAGTTGCTGTTTTTGTGCCAGGTTTCGCCTAACAACCTGTCCTCCCTTTATTTTTTTGCCCTGCCTAAATGCTTTTCTACCTAGGTCATTTCATACAAGGGTGCATCTATTGGGAATGGCAGCAAATGGAGCAAATAAATCAGATTAAGCCTGCTCCCTGCCCAAATAATCCAACTTTTTTTGGAATAAAGTGGATTTTAATCTAAGCATTTGTGTGTGTGAGGGGGGGGGCTTAATTTCATTGTTGCTTCACCCACAGAGGGTGACTCAAAATGGCAGCCCGAAGCGGCGAGCTGAGGCACCGTCTGCGCTACACGTGAAGTAGCCCCGCCCCGTTCTCCTCCTCGGACTCCGCCTCCTTCTTTCCCTCCCGGCCGTCCACCAATTGCGTCACAAGGACCCAATAGCTCGCCGCCTCTTCTCCCCCGGCTGGGCGGGGCGGTGTGGCGAGCAGTACCTCCCTCGCGGCTTGAAAAAACCCGCCTTCTTTCCCCGCCTCCTCCTCCTCCTCCCTCCTTTTTTTTTTTTTTTTTAAACATTCGTCGCACCCGGCATCCGGGAGCCAATCCCAGTGTCGCTTGGAGGCGGCGAGTGGCAGGCGCCGCCGCCAATGGAGTGACCAAGGCGGCGGCCGGCGAGTGGGAGGAGCCTGCGGCGGCGGCGTCGTAAAGTGTGTGAAAGGTCGTGGCTGAGGAGGCGGGGGGGGGGCGTCTCGATGGGAGTCGTTATCTGGCCGGGATTCGCCGGGAGCGTCGGCGTCGTCACTGCACAGGTGAGGCCAAAATCGGACTCGCGAGGTAAAGTAGGTGCTTATCTGTCCCTCGGCTCGAAATCCGGAGGCGCCCCAATATCCCCAGGCCGCCTGGACCCCCCCTTTCTTTTCGACCCTAATGGATGCGGCTGCATTATCCTTTCTTTTTTTTTTTCCCCCCTCTTTCCTCTGGCGTCCTCACAGACAAGGCTGGACTACAAGTCCCATCATGCCTCAGCCAGCCCCGTTGGGACGCCTTGCCTTGACATCCCCCCCTGCTTGTAGTTTTCTCTCTCTCTCTCTCTCTTCCATTTGCATCCTTGGCGTTGGGTTGGGGAGGACGTCGCGGAGAGCTCGAGGCACCTCCATGGGAAGGAGGGAGGGGCTGATTTAATACCTTCACGACAACCCTGTGAGGTAGGTAGGTTGGGTGAGGGGGGGGGTGGGAGAGAGAGAGAGAGAAAGAGGGAGAATGTAACTGACCCGTGAAGGGCACTTGAGAAGTGGAATTGGGGAAGGGAGAGGGGGGGGGGCTTGGTCCCTTCACTCACTTTATTAGGGGAGGGGGAGAATGGGAAGAGACCTTCTGGCTTCCCCCCCCCTCCCTCTCCTAACCTGCCTCACCCCCCCCCAAACTCCCCCATCCCCCCCTGTTTTATTTCAAGGGCATTTTCATTAGGGGGTGTTTTTTTTTCCCCTTTCTAAATGTGTCACATAATGTGTGTTCCAACATTTTGAATGTTATCATTGATATAATTATGGGGTGGGGGAGGGAGAAAGTCTACAGCAGTGGTTCCCAATGTGGGGGGGAGGGGGTGTATCCACGCCCCACAAGGGGGTGGGTGGGCAATTTGATTTTAAATGGGAGAGGTGCGATTCGAACCTTGTTTAAACCAAGTTAATGAATGGCCTTTCGGGCTTCCTCTCCCCCGCGTGAGTAGAGGTCACTTTTTGAGTAAAGTAAGAATTATATGTCCTGGGGTGGGGGTGGGGTGGGGGGGCCAATCAGGATTTTAGAGATGCTTAGGTGGGGGCATGGCCACAAAAAAAAAAAAAAGGTTGGGAGCCACTGGTCTATTACAGGGTTGCTGGTAATCAGAAATTATTCCCATTTAATAATATACCATGTTGTTCCTTGCAAAGTCGTGTCCAACCCCAACCCCATCGTGACCCCGTGGACAAAATAATACAATTGAATAGTATAGAAAAGTAATTCTTGTGTTGAGAGTTTGGATGCACTTGAGGGTCAACGTGCTCGGAGGATCAATAATCACAAAATCTTTACAGGGACCAAAAAAAAATAAATAAAAATGGGTTGCTTCAGACTTAGCAGAAGGAGATGAAATTTTAGGCTTTCTCAGGAGGTTTAGGGAAGGCGTGCCAAGAGCTCTCCTGGACCCACTGAAGATCCTTCTAATCTGGGATCTAGTTTGCAACCATCGTCTGCTTCCTTGACAAAATTCCTGAGCAGGATATGAAGGCGATGCACCCCCCCCCCCACTTCATTGTTTCTCCTACCTTAATTGAGAGGTATGGAGAGAATAAGAGGTATCTTGAAGATATATGTGTAATTGAATTTCCTGCAGAAAGAGACAAAGAAAGATAAGGGAGGGTGGGGAAATATAGAAATATGTCTATATAATGGAAGCATTCTTTAAAAGTATTAGCTTTGTTGTGTGCTGCACCAAAGTGGAAAGGAAATTGCTCCTTCTTAGCTTGCTTTTTTTTTTTTTAACAACCCAGGAATTCAGGGTTGGCAAAAGAGAATTTCCTCTTCCAGTTTCCTCTTTCATCTAATACAAGTTATTGTACAGTGATTGGATTTCAAGGGTACCTTCCACTCTACCTCCTCGTTTCTCTCTTCCTGAATGTCCTTTCTTACGGGAGTGCCAAGTTTCTTTGAGGTTTAATTGATTTTTGGATTATCACTTTAGTCCCATACATGAACAATCTCCAGGGCCTCCAATATCCACTATGGAAAGCCATATTTATTTTCACCCTCCCACTTTTTTCCTCTTCCAGGGCAGTGTTTTCTGATTGTACTCTTTCCCCTTACTTTATCCTCTTGTTTGTCACTTTATAAAGCGGCTTGCTTTGAGAAGTTCATGTGCCGTGGCTCACTTTTCTCCTGGCACGGTTTTGTAGATGGCATTACACTCATCCTTTCTCTTTTCCTCCCTTCTTCTGGTCTTTCCACTATATAGAGAAGAGACAGTAAAAGGGAAATACAAGACTTTACTGTAGAAAGTTTTAAATTAGATGCCTCTTTTTATAGAGTAGCTAGAAGAAGGGTGTTCTCAGTTCTAGATGGTACTTCACAAACCAGTTGCATTAAAATTAAAAAGGCAACTTTAATTAGATGCTAGGTAGGCAAATTATGTAGTTTGTAAAGATGGTAGGGATTGAATTGTTGTGTTTTTTTTTTTGATCCAATTTTTTTTTTTTTAATGGAAGCTGGAAGCGTGCCTTGTAAAGATGTGAGAGCCAGTTTGGCATAGTGATTAAGCTGCTGGCCTAGAAATCAAGAGTCTGAATCTTGCTAGTCCCGCCTTAGGGATGAAAGCTGGCTGGGTGACTTTGGAGCCAGACACTCTCTCTCAGCCTAACCCACCTCATAGCGTTGTTGTTGTTGTTGTAGGGAAAATAAGAGGCACCAGGAAGTGCTATTAAGTATGTACATTGCCTAGATAGATGGAATAGATAGGATAAAAATACAATAATGTTGCAACTTCAAATGATCTGCCAGTAGTAAAGTTATCTGCATCAGCAAAGATGGAGTTTGATGTCCTTTGAAAGACTTCCAACTCTGTGTTTGTTAATGGTTTCCTGCACTGCATGTTTCCTATTATTTCTTGAGTTAAGACGGGGGAGAGAATAACGTGTCTACGCCCTGTTGTTTTGGCCATCGTCCCAAAGTGAAAAGTTGGTTTCACCCAAGTTTTTTGCTTCGAGAATTCTTTGACAGTTATTCCCTTTTCAACCGTACTCGACACCTTAATGCAGAGGTCTTCAAACTTGGCAGCTTTAAGACTTGTGGATTTCAACTCCCAGAATTCTCCAGCCAGTTTAGCTTAGTTTAGCTTAGCTTAGCTGACTGGAGAATTCTGGGAGTTGAAGTCCACAAGTCTTAAAGCTGCCAAGTTTGAAGACCTCTGCCTTAATGGATAGTTATTTATCTTTTGATTCTTACGTCACATGTACTTCTCCCATCTCATGTAGCTGAGCTGTGTTGCAGTCTATTCTTTAATGGCTTTTTATGGGTCTTTGCTATTTATTTGACTTATTTAATGTCACGTTAAGTGGGGGGGAAATTACACAATCGTTTATAAAATGTGTTAGTCCAATTAATGTGCAAGGAGGCCTAGACTAGATACATCTTTCCTGCAGGTACAAAAAAAAACCCTTGGGTTCTCCTCCACACTTAATTGTGTTAGCAATTTAATAGTTCTGTTGGATTGGGTAAGCGAATTCCTGTGGCATCTTTGCACTGACTATCACTGCTACTGTACAGCTTGGTTTTATGTCCTGATGTAAATGCTGATTTCTTCCTGATAATGATTCCTGGAATCATGATGTCTTGGAATCGCTGTCAGAATAGAGAAATGAACTACAGTTCAAGGGCATGTTTTTACCTATTCAATCGACACGCATTTATTCTTCCATGATTCCTGGCTTTTAAAACTAATAGCTGGCAATGTTTTTTTGTTAAACCTAACAACAATCATAACATTCTCACAGATGATCTATTTATTACCTTGCATTTAATAAACATTAAGATGCCAAGATAGGAGCTATGGGAAAGTCAGGAAATAATTCGACTGCCAAGTATTTTACTTTTCAGAGTAACTAACCTTCCAAATCGCTTTTAACACAAACTATTGCAATATCTTTTTATAGATACTCCCTCCCTTCCTTCTCTCTCCCCCCCCCCAAATTTCTTGATATTGTCTACTCTGTATTTCAGCTGTAGGCATTGCTTTTTGACACTTGCTGGTGATCCATCTCCAATTTCAATTAATCTATTCTTTTCTTGTGCTTAAAACAATATATATTTTGATAAATTACTTGTATAGGATACCCAGTTTTGTTGAAAAAGCATGGGTTCGAATCTCTCTTTCTTGCTTTGGTCATATAACAAATCTAAAAATGCTGTTTTAAAAACATTTCTCAGATTTTATTAGAAGTTTGTGATGTTTATATGAGATAGGGGAATTTGGGCCAGGTCTGAAATAACTGAAAACGTTCTCTTTTATTGCTCTTCAGGCAGTTTAACAATATGGTATAAATTTTAACACATCTACAGCTTTTTTATTGAGACAACAGATTTGTAAAAGGTTTGGTTGGCTTTTGTCATGGTGATTAATAGAACAAAGTCTTCCCTTTGCACTAAGAAAGCTAGGTCGAGAAATATGATTTTTTAAAATTGTACTTTAGAAAGTACAGATTGCATGTGAATACTTTCTTTCGAGGGAAGAAATTGGCATGTGAAAGGGAAAGTAAATCGTCTCAGATGTTGCTAGCAGTTTTCAGAAGAAATAAAGGAATGACCGTCCTAAAGGTTATGGGATGAGTAAGGCAGATTACCAGAATTCTTTTAATTATAATAAAAATAAGAAGTTGCCTCATTCAAATTTAAGCCATTGGGATGTCTGAGAGTGGCTGCAAATAGACTTGTGCCAAGAATCAATGAGTAATATAAAGGAGAACTTGAAATCATATTATTAAAACATAGAATAATAGGTTGGAAGGGAAATCTTAGAGACTTCTAGTCCAACTCCCTGCTCAAGCATATATAAAGCTATCTGTTTGATAGCTTTATAGATTTTCTGTTTTACTTTATGACTAATTTACTGTTTTAAAGTTGTACAATTACAGTACATATGCTGTATATTAACTGTATATACAGAGAGAGACAGACAGAGAGAGAGAGAGAGAAGGAGAGAGAGAGAGAGAAGTAAAACATGCACACAATGCATTTGAACTTCCTGTGATGTAAAGTATAACAAAAACGAAGAACTCATTGCTATCATTGCTATATTACAATGTTAGGAATGAATATTTTATAAATGAATTCACTTCCTTTCAGAACTGTTCTATAAGCCTGAAAATAGTGTTGTAAAAATGGACTTGAGCCTGTCTCTAAAGCAGGAGTGTCAAACTCGATTTCATTGAGGGCCGCATCAGAGTTGTGTTTGACCTGGGGGGGGGCGGGGTCGGTGGGCATGGCAAGGGTGGGCATGGCCAGCTCAACATCAGTAATATAGATACAGAACGATTTGGCAAGTCCTGTTAAAGCTTTATTTGGACAAAATCCCACTGAACGCAGGTAGTCCTCGACTGACGACCACAGCTGAGCCCCCCCATTTCTGTCGCTTTCCTGCCACAATTGCTAAGAGAAGCCCTGCAGTTGTTAAGTGAGTAACATGGTTGTTAAGTAAATCTGGCTTCCCGGCTGACTTTGCTTGTCCGAAGGTGACAAAATGTGATGGTATGACCCTGGGACACTGCAACCGTCATAAATGTGAAGCAGTTGCCAAGCATCTGAGTTTTGATCACCTGAGTGCGAAAAACGGCCATAAGTCACTTTTCTCAGTTCCGTTGCAACTTCGAACGGTCACTAAATGAACTGTTGTAAGTGGAGAACTACCTGTATGAGCGTTCAGGGTGGACATGTGCAGATGGCGATATGTTCATGTTGATGTCATCATGGAAATCATGTGCGAGTTGCATATCTCTGTCGAACATCATTATATACTGATGTACAGTATGGCATCACGGCACAAATGACATATTATCATTTGATGTTGCAGCTTGTTGTGGTGGCTGCTGCTACCCTGTTTCCCCCAAAATAAGACATCCCCTGATAATAAGCCCCAATCGGGCTTTTGAGCGCATGGCAATAAGGCCAAGCGCTTATTTCAGCGTTCAAAAAAATATAAGACAGGGTCTTATTTTCATGGAAACACGGTATAAAATATGCTTTGGTCATGAATGCACCTATATTGCTGCTTTAAGTAATATAGTTGATGTTAGCCCAAAGTCTGAAAAACGAGACACTTGTATATTAATACTATATGGCTCTTTTTCTTCCTTTGTTTAAAAAAAATAGTTTATTTTATTGCTGTTACATTTTATTGTATCACTATTGCTTTTTATTTTTGTTTATTACATTTACTAATAACAGAAAAATGCGTTCTCATCAACATAAGGGGTAAAGGAGAAGGCAAGATTCACACATTTTATGCTATGGACACCATTGTAACGGTTGCACTGTTAAAACAGCACTTTGGAGAAGACAATAGAAATACTACTATAGAGAATCCTAAAATTTACTGAAGGGATTTCTGTTTTAAAGTTGCCTTTTAGAGTTTCCTTCCTGTATGTTTTGTTAGGGTCATTGGCAACACTCGGAAAAGGTCATTGCTCAATATGTAAACTTTAAAGAATAGCAGTTGGGCAAATTACCTGAATAATTTGTAAACAGTGCTTGTTTTTGTTCTCCCCATCATCTCAGATTTAAAAAAAAACATGAGTATGAAATAACAGAAGTACTTATATTACAGAAAGAATTCACTTTGTATGGCTTCCTAGTTCATTGATATACGCATTTTATATATGATGACCTTGCTTGTTATCAGTAATAGCAATTTACGAGCTTATCCCATTAGTATAAATATGTTTACAGGATCATTATGGAAACAATATTGTTGATTATTGCTAGGTTCTTCATACAACACACACACCTGTTGATCTAGCTAGCTACCTAGCTAACTGTCTCCAGCCTGGTGTCCCCTTTAGCTGGTTTGGAGATAAATGAAACTATGTTGATTGACGTCTATCTCAGAGAACGTACATTTGTTTCATTTTTGTGCAAATGATCATAAAATGGATTTGTAGTAATATGAAAGCAAATTGTATGCACATTTGTTTTCCCCCTGGATAAGTAATGATGAAGATGCAGTTGAAGTGGCTTCTATCTAAAAGATTTGTACGGAATGGGCCAAAAAATAGTGTAGCAGATGACTTACGTTTGAAGTAGGATACCTATGCTTTGTTGTGACTTGTTTCTTGTGTGTGTTAACTGCTGCCAAGAGAGTGATATACAATCTGATTTTGTTTTATAGGCTGACTTTGAATTGGACTTCATATTTGCTTAGACGGCCTGGAGTTTCCTGTTTTTAAGAATAAGTGTCATACTACACAGGTGGGTTTTGTATGCTTGGAATGCATTGTTTCTACAGTATTGTAATATATTAACTAGCTATTGTTCCTTCCTGCTAAAGGGACCAATCCAGGCAAATCAGGAAGTAATGGAATGTTCTCTGTGTGCTTCTTTTATATACTTGCTTATAATCTTCTGGTTAAAACTGGGCAGGAATACTATGTCAAGTAGGATTACAAAATTGGAGAATGTAATTCAGATTGCACATTTAAAGATAGACTTTATATCCTTGTGAAACATCCTTTCTTCCATTTTTCCCTGCTATTGGATCATCCTTTGCTGTAAGTTTTGGGGGAAAAAAAAGCTATTAAGGTTTGAAATGAGATATAGTTTACTTTATTAGTCATAAAGTAAAACAGATAATCTACAGTGCTATCAAACAGGTGTAGACATTGTATTAAAAAAAACCCTGAAGAACATTGATAAAAATGTGGATTGCTACTCTACAATGCATAGTCATTGCCTACGTGATTAATACCTCCAATACAGCAAAGGAAGACGATTCAATACATTTGCTCAGAATAGATCCATTTCTGAAGGGCCTACCTTTTGTATGTGATCACCTGTATTTTATTTAGCATCTTTTTTGTAATGGAATGTGTAGATGACTTTGGGGAATGAGGGGAAGAGATATTGCCTAGAAAACAGGTAAGAGAGGCAGGAGCCCCCGATGGCTCAAGGGTCAGAGAAAGAAACAGGGAGGACCTGCCCTAATGGATCCAGCTCAGTGGTGGAATTCAAATTTTTTTACTACCGGTTCTGTGGGCATGGCTTGTTGGGCATGGCAGGGGAAGGATACTGCAAAATCTCCATTCCCACCCCACTCCTGGGGGAAGGATATTACAAAATCTCTATTCCCACCCCACTCTGGGGCCAGCCAGAGGTGGTATTTGCCAGTTTTCCGAACTATTCAAAATTTCCACTACTGGTTCTCCAGAACCTGCTGAATAGCACCTCTGATCCAGCTGTTAAAAATCGTGGTGGGAAGTTTGTGTCAGGGTTCACTCTCAACGAAAGAAGACTCTGAGGCTAGAAGTTCCTCAAAGTTCCAATTTATCTGGGAAAACCCGAATCTGAAAGCTTCCAGGTTTTCCCCCACCCAAAAGAAATGGCAAGTCCCTGCTCCAGCACCCACATGTCCATCACATGGTCCAATCAATGCACCGTTCCCAACTGGAGATGCCTTCCAGTCACCCCACTCTTGGTGCAGGGTAGGATGTCCTTGACTCTCAAAGAAAAGAATGTTGTTATGGCTAGATATCTCTCCATACAATCCCCCCTCCCAATTTCCCACAGGACTAAATGTGGCAGCCCTGAAGATCCAAAGTAAAAGATGGCTTCCATGACTGATAGTTTGTACTTGCAAAATTGATGTCAACCCTCCGAGCTAAACCAGAGAGGAAGTACAAACTGGATGAACTAATTCTGTTTCATTGTAAGACTACATCAATGGAGCTTTGTGAGTCTGACGCCACTGATTTCCTGCCAGCTCTTTCAACTGCTTGATCGGTTTAGGGCGGGTCCTTCCTCCGTTGGTCTGATCCTTAAGCTACTGGCGGCTCCACCCTCTCTTGTCTGATTGTTTCCTAGGCAGCATCTCTTTTCCCATGCTCCTTCAAGGTCATCTAACAGGTCCCATTAAACTTCTCAACCGGCCTTATCTTACAACAACTAATTGATTTGTCTTTGAGATTAGGTTTCTTTTCTTGGTACATAGATAAGTGACCGAAATACATTAAGGAAGCGTATAATGATTTTTCAAGCAGAGCAAATATTTTTCTTGGAATAAAAACCTTGCACACACTTACTCTAGAATGAAATGTGGGATTTTGAGTAGCACGGTCTTTGTCCTTTGAAAATGTGGCAGTCAAATGTATTCATTTATTTTTATCCCACACTTTATTTATTTATTTATTTTTATAAATAACTCAAGGTGGAGAACATGACTGATACTCCTTCTTATTATTATTTTCCTCATAATAAAAGCCTTGTGGAGTGGGGCTGGGCTGAGAGAGAAAGTGACAGGCCTAAAGTCTCCCAGCCAGTTTTCATGCTTAAGGCAGATCTAGAACTCATTGTCTCCTGGTGGTTGACTCAAAGTCACCCAGCCAGCTTTCACACCTAAGGTGGAACTAGAACTCATGGTCCCCTAGTTTCTTGCCTTCAAAATACCTCTGTTTTGATATCAGATCCAGAGATATATTTTTTTTAGTTATGTAGTCAGGCTTTTGATGCTGAACGGAATCATCTGTTCTGTATGAAACTTCGTTAAGTTCTGTCGTCTTAGATTTGAAAGCTTTTTTTTTAACTTGATAGGTTAGAGTTGGAAGGGATCTTGAAGGTCTTCTAGTCCAACCCCCTGCTTAGGCAGGAAACCCTACACCCCTTCAGACAAATGGTTATCCAATCTCTTCTTAAAAACTTCCAGTGTGGGAGCATTCACAACTGGAGGCAAGTTGTTCCACTGATTAATTGTTCTCACTGTCAGGAAATTTCTCCTTAGTTCTAAGTTGCTTCTCTCCTTGATTAGTTTCCACCCATTGCTTCTTGTTCTACCCTCAGGTGCTTTGGAGAACAGCTTGACTCCCTCTTCTTTGTGGCAGCCCCTGAGATATTGGAACACTGCTATCATGTCTCCCCTAATCCTTCTTTTTATTAAACTAGACATACCCAGTTTCTGCAACCGTTCTTCATGTTTTAGCCTCCAGTCCCCTAATCATCTTTGTTGCTCTTCTCTGCACTCTTTCTAGAGTCTCCACATCTTTTTTACATCGTGGCGACCAAAACTGGATGCAGTATTCCAAGTGTGGCCTTACCAAGGCCTTATAAAGTGGTATTAACACTTCATGTGATCTTGATTCTATCCCTCTGTTTATGCAGCCTAGGACTGTGTTGGCTTTTTTGGCAGCTGCTGCACACGGCTCCTATTTAAATGGTTGTCCACTAGGACTCCAAGATCCCTCTCACAGTTAGGACTATTGAGCGAGATACCATCTATACTGTACCTATGCATTTTGCTTTTCTTACCTAAATGTAGAACCTTACTTTTTTTCAGGTTAATGAAGGGCTATCTATTTTCTAAATGGTTTTTTCTTTCTTTCTTTTTCAGATAGCAAGATGAGTTCCTTAATAGAAACCCCTGAGCTGCCGGCAGTATTTGATGGGGTTAAATTGGCTGCTGTCGCCGCTGTTCTTTACATTATTGTCCGTTGCCTGAATCTGAAGAGCCCAACTGCTCCTCCTGAGCTCATATACCAAGACACACCTTTAGCCCGCTTCCTAATAAAATCGTGCCCTCTCCTAACCAAAGAGTGAGTAGTCCACCGATATACGGGATGATTTGGCTATTTTGATTGAATGTTAACAAGGTAAGAGGAAGCTGTGTACAAAATTGGAAGCAACTTCAACAGGTTAGACCAGGGGTGGGTTCTACTTACCTTTACTACCGGTTCGCAACGGGGCCGGGCAGAAGCTTCCTGATGACGTCCGGGTCAGTGGGCGGAGCCTCCCACCGGTTTTACTACCAGTTCTTGCGAACCAGTCCAAACCGGGGGCAACCCACCATTCGATTAGATGCTTTCTTTACATCATAAAAGCCTTGCCTTGTGACCCTCTTCCTACAGTAAACGAAATTTGCTTGGCTTAATTAAAAATGCCCACTTTACAAACATCTCTATATCCTGGAGGGAGAGCAAGTCTGCCTCTGTACATCTGTAACCATCAATTCAGACAGGATCAAGGTGTGGTTGAATTGGAGAAGCTGCGAAACCACTTCTTGGGGAGGGGGGGAAAGCACTTCTGAGAGAGCGATTATACCTGAAGTTGAAATTCAGGTAGAGACTAAATCGGCTAATCTAATTATAGACTAAATTGTTTTGTTTTGGATAGTTGAAGGAGCGGTACCCATTTTCCTCAGGAAATCTTGTGCAATCTCAGACTCCCGATGTAGTTGGTTTCCAAGCCTCACTTTTCTTTTGCATTCAGCCCTCCTGTGTGTCAGCTCCAGTGTGCTGTCGGCATGGAGCTGCCATTCGTGGGGGGGAGGAATGCACAAACCTCATTTCAGCCCAGCATCTGCTTGGTCAAGCCTCCCAGGAACTGATAGGAATGAATGGCTATAAAAATACTGTCAATAATACCTGTCAATTTCCAATTTTGCCCTTGAACTATTTGGGGAAGGGGATAGGTGTGATATAGGTTATGGCTGCAAATTATTATTCTTATTATTGTTCAATAGTGGTTTTTATAATAGATTCTGTAACATCTTCCAAGGGCTCATTTTAGTCTTCACCTTACGATAATGTTCACTCATAGTGCATATTTGGAGTATTTTGCAGTGCTTTACTTAGGAAAGTTACTCAAAGATGCTTATGTTATGAATGCCGCTACAGCAGTTTTAAGAAAAAAAGGTAATTAATTAAAAACAAAAACTCACCAATTATTTAAAACTGTCCTGGGACTTTTCAGATGCAGCTGTTAACGTTTTGTGTAATTATCTTTTGCTTTATCTTTTTTATGTTTTCATATCCTGAACAGTAATTCCCTCGTGTCCTTTTGGGGGGGCGGAAAACCGTTGGTGCTTTTTTCCATCTGACAATCTCCCATTTATCACAGTTTTAGATTTAAGCCTCGGCGAACAGATGTAGCCCTCTTCAGACATTTTAAAACTCACCCCACTTAATTTTGCCTGGCAAGAGAATGGAGGCTGTACATTTTAGCTCCAAGTAACAAAAGCCCCGTGAATACATAGCCAGCTTGTAAAACCGTCCGCTCTTTCTTATTGCCAGACAATGAATGCCTGCCTGCCTAGTGCTTTCTTTCCTCTTGAGAAAGTTTAATAATTGGATTATCCAGTTTTACTAGTCATATCAAAAAAAGATTTTCATTTGTATTGTGTGCCAGCAGAATACAGTCTGATTACCCGCCTTTGCCCATGGTAATCTGAGTGCTTTGGGAAGAAACGTTCCCTCCAAGCTTCGGAGCTTGATGTAGAACTGTATGCAGATATGAAAATAACCCCATTCCCCTTTCCCATCTGAGTACAGAAGTAAAAGGAAAGCAAGTTAAACAGCTGAATGTTGGCTCTGTGGGCTGATGCTGATTTGCAAACTGGGATTTTATACTAACTTGTTATTGGCTACTGTATCTGAATTCAAGGAACACCAAATCACAGTAATTCAGGGAGGCTGTTTAGCTCTGATGTTATATTATACTTCTACAGATTTTTGTGCTATATCAGAACTTGCCTTACCTCTTCCCTTTCCTGACCATTCCACTTTGTTATATTATCTTTTCTAAATTTTGATTGAATGGCTGTTTCTTTCCTAGCTATTGGGTGTTTTCTTATCCCTTTTTTGTGTGCATGCTTACAGGCATCCCAAAGAACACCGTACCTCATCAGCTTCAACATTTTTGAGGGGGGAACAGATAAATTTTACACATAGAAAAATAAATACCCGCAGTTTTGATTATTACCGTGTTTCCCCGAAAATAAGACCCTGTCTCATATTTTTTTGAACCCTGAAATAAGCGCTTGGCCTTATTGCCATGCGCTCAAAAGCCCGATTGGGCTTATTATCAGGGGATGTCTTATTTTGGGGAAAACAGGGTATTATTATTATTATACTTTATTCATTAAACATGAAACTCAGTCAACTGAACATTCAAAAATCTGAATCTACCTAAGATGATCCAAATGCATCACAAATACCATTGACTGGTGCTAATGGTTGATACGGGTTGCTGCCAGCGTCCTAGGTATCAACCAAGTACCTTCTTAAGATGTACGATCTTCCAAGTAGCGCAGTTTTGTGCAGTTCTGTTGGCATTATTGCAGGAAGCTGCAATTTCTTGATGTATTTTGTAAAATTCTTGGACATGGTACCAAGTGCCCGATGACAATGGGTATCACTGTTACATGTTTCATCCATAATCACGTAGTTTCGATGGCCAGGTTGCGATATTTCGTGATTTATTCCAGTTCTTTTTCTTCGACTCTGGCGTCTCCTGGTTCCGCGAGGTCAATAAATTGTATGTTTCGGTTTTCGACAACTGTGATATCTGGTGTGTTGGGTTCCAAATGACGATCCGTCTGTATTCGAAAGTCCCACAAGATCTTCACCTTCTCATTTTGGATAACTTTTTCCACTATGTTCCCATGACTGTTTTGGATACAGGTAAGTCGTATTTTTCACATAATGACCAGTGGATTAATTTAGCAACTCGGTCATGTCTAGCTTTGTAATCAGTTTGTGCGATTTTCCTGCATTCACATATTAAATGTGAAACAGTTTCAACTTTGTTATTGCAAAGTCGGCAGTTTGGATTGTCAGTGGATTTTTATATTTTTGCTTTCATGGCATTAGTTTGTAGTGCTTGTTCTTGAGCAGCGAGTATTAAACCTTCCGTTTCTTTCTTGATGGTTCCCATTTTAAGCCATGCCCATGTAAAGTTGTCATCACATTTTCCTTCAATGTTTTTCAAGTGTTGTCCATGCAAAGCTTTGGTTTTCCATCTATTTAATCTGTCATCCAGCTGTTTTTCCTTATATTCTGCCTTTGTTTCTGTTGTTCTTATAATGTTCTCCATTTTCATAGCCTGCAGCAATTTTTCTGTACTTTGGTTCACATAATCATTCAATCTTCGTTTTTCTTCTTCTACAGTTTGATGGATTTGCAATAGCTGAGTTATTATTATTATTGTTGTTGTTGTTATTGTTAACTCAATTCTTTGCATTATGTTTGTATTAACTGCAGAATTAGTGACAATTTGTTTACCTTTAGTAGTAAAGGTAGTCCTTGACTTAGGGCCACAATTGAGCCCAACATTTCTGTCATTAAGTGAAACATTTGTTAAGTGAGTTTTGCACCATTTTACGACCTTTGTCACAGTTAAGTGAATCACTGCAGTTGATAAGTTAGTAACCCGGTTGTTAAGTGAATCTGGCTTCCCCATTGACTTTGCTTGTCAGAAGGTCACAAAAGGGGATCACATGACCTTGGGACACAGCAACGGTCATAAACATGAAACAGTTGCCAAGCGTTTGAATTTTGATCGCGTCGTAACTCTGAAAAAATGGTCCTAGGTCACATTTTTCAATGCAGTTGTAACTTCGAGCGGTCGCTAAATGAACTGTTGTAAGTCGAGAACTACCTGTATATTATACATTAGAACTAAAATACTTCTTGGTATGGTTCCCTTTTCTCCCGTAATGAACCAATACATTTTAAGTTCTCTATTTCTATATCCTCAGGAACGAGTGGTTCTTATGACATCAGGAGTAAAAGTCAGCCTCTAAGAATATTCTGTCCTTTGCCAGAACATTGAGCACCAATTTCCTGCCCCAACCCACAAGTAAAGGCACAATATTGTGTTACATTTGCTCATCCACAGTTCTGAAAAATCTGCTTCTCATTCATATGTGTGTGTGTGTGTGTGTGTGTGTGTGTGTGTGTGTGTATGTAGGTCTTTGGTTATTCGGGTTTTCACAATTTGCTCCTAGAAGCACGAAGCCGAGAACACCAGCCTGAAGATGACGAATGAGACTTCGTCGAAACGTTGCCAAGAAACCTCCAATTTTACGCGGGAGAAAACCCGAATAACCAAAGACCTACACACACACACACACACACACACACACACACACACACACACACACACACACACATATATATATATATATATATATATATATATATATATATATATGAAGGAACCAATTTAGTTCCTGAACAATATCTGCATTATACAAGTAATTAATTAAGCTTCTGTCCCCTCCACTGGGTTTACATGTAGCTAAATCTTTTCCTTGCAAACTAGCAAAAAAAAACAACCCTCCATCAATATGTTGTATAATTCTTTCAGTTAGCTGGATCCATTATAATGGGTTTGTACTTTAAAAACCTAAGACTTTAACAAATATTCTAGGAGGTTTGTTTGTTTGTTTTTTAAATACCTGCACTTAGACAGCTTCAGAATAATGACAGCTGATACAAAGTGTGGAACAGGCGGAAAAAATTGCTGCTATTAAACTGGGTGCAGGATGCGTGGAATTTTAATTGCCGTGTTTCATGTGGGAATTCCAAGAATCTTATTGAAGCTTAAAGAGATTTTGCATATTTCTTCGCGCTTGATCTCCGAACAAATGGATAACAACACATGTAGGTCAAACTGTACTTTTCCGTTCTAATCAAATCAGCTTGTGAAGCAGTCAGGTTTTTCAAATAGGCCCCTGAAAAATAGCATTCTCAGGGCAGAGCTGATGGGATTTAATTCGCTTTCCACCAACTCAAGTTATTACATTAATCTGGCT